GCTACTTCCAGATAAGGCATCACCACAATGTCCCTTAAATCCATAGTTTAAAATCAAATGGGTAAACCTGGTGGAAGAGACAGGTCTTTAACACTGTTTTAAATTGAGACAGCATGTTTAGCTGTCAAATCTCTCCTGGCAGGTCATTCCAAAATCTAGGGGCAGCTGATGAAAATGTCCTTTGGGTAAGAGTTGACAGTCTACTCCTGGTCGGTTGAGGTAAATGGTCCTCAGAGGACCTGAGTGTATGGGGTAGACTATATGGTTAACATATAATACTAATATATAAGCAAATGTACCCAATTCTGTCTAGACTGAAAACCTGTCATTCTGCCCCTTCTGCCCTTCTCCTCATGCCTATTTCCCCTCTTTTCCTGTCTGCCTTTTCTCCTCTTCCATCTGGTTGCTTATTCAGCCAGCAACAACTTCACCTGAGTCAGAAACTCCTCAGTGCCCACACCATCCTTTTTCTCTTTTCATCTGTTCTTCCTCTTCTCCCTGCACCCAACTGTTTTTCTTTCTTTCCCTCCATCCCACCCTAGCCCTCATTTAGCCTCTGCAGCACTCTTGAGCCTTAATGAGATACAGATATTTAATAGATACGCTATTTCCAGGAATGGGGATTTCAGAGTATGCAGTATCTGACCACATGACAGCATTATGATACCTCTTTGATACCTCTTTAATTGCCATGGCTCAACCCTACAGAATCCTGGGATGTATAGTTTGTTGCAGCACCAGAACTCTCTGACAGAGAATTCTAAATACCTCACCAAGCTACAAACCCTAAGATTCCACAGGATGGAGTCATGACAGTTAGAGTAGTATCAACCAGCTCCAATTGTGCAGTGTAGATTCACCCTGTAAATGCACTGATGGTGCAAAGTCATGGCCAAATCCCATCTGTAAAACTAGAACAATCATACTAACATGTTCAGGGATAAGTCCAATTGAGCCCAGAAGAGTTTATTCCTAAGTAAAAATTTAAAAGCAAATGTTAGCTTTTGCCAGGAAGATTCAAAATTTTAAAGGTTTTTAATGTGTAACTTAGATTTTGGTCAAGTTTTATTTCTTTTTCATTTGTGTTACTTTTATATGGATATTTAGTTCCTTTTGTTAAATCTTGCTTCATAAGATTCTGATGACCAGACACAGATCAGTAAATCCAAACCTACTCTTAAGTAAGTGAGCATATTATAGCAGCCCAACTGTTCCAAACATGTGATGTCAGCATGCAGAAATGTGAGCATCTTCCAGGATAAACACATTCCTACCTAGAGACATAGTGAAAGCATATGTAGGCTTTGCTTGGGTAATTGTTAGGCATAGGCTCTTTCCACAGTACTGATTCTGGTTTGTTCCACACCCTTCATTTATTGCAAACCCCACCACCCCAGCCTATCCTAACAGCCCTGGTGGCACAGTGGTTAAATGCCTGTACTGCAGCCACTCACTCATAGATCACAAGGTTGCGAGTTCAATACCAGCCAGGGCTGAGGCTCGACTCAGGCCTGCATCCTTCCGAGGTCACTAAAATGAGTACCCAGCTTGTTGAGGGGCAATCAGTTCACAGTTGTAAACCACTTAGACATCCCATAGCGTGATATGAAGAGGTATATAAATGAAGCTGCTTTATCCTGGGACAGGCATTTAGCTAGTGACCATATGAAAGGCTTTCATGCTGGACCAGGCATGAGGAACCTATGGTCTTCCAGACAACACTGAACAATAATTTCTACGATGCCTAACCACTGGCTAGGCTGTCAACCTAGGTCTAATGGGAATGGCAGCCCAATGGCATCTGGAAGGCTGAAGGCAGAAATTGAGATTTTTCATTCATGCTTACTTCGAGCCACCATTCCACATTCTTCCAAGTTGACACCTTCCAACGGATAAATGGGCACCAAGTCCACAGCCCCAAGACAAGGATGGATTCCAACATGAGCTGCCATGTCTATGGATGAGAAAGCCTCCATACAGGCAGCAACAACACAACTGCCTAAAACAAAGGGAAAAAAATATTGTGCATTACTAACCTCTCTCTCTGAAAAGGAAAACTAGATCTTAGTCTCTCTGCTCCAAAGTACATTAAAAGGGATATTTCATTGAAACACGCACACACAGAAAGGACAGAAAATATCATTGTTTCAGTCTCTTCAAAGTTAAAATGTAATTCCTCTTTCTTATTTATACTGATTGTAAATTTTTGGAGAAATTTCAAGGTCTTGGATTTCTTACAAATTTACCCAACTTGAAGAAGGGCTCTTATTATATCTTATGAACATACTTCAAGACCATGCAACAAGACAGCCTTCTTGTTATCTTGCCAGCTTTGCTATTGAAAAATAATCTACAAGGTTTCTTTTCTTTTTTAACTAAAGTACTAAGCACTACCTTGTTAATATTTACAGCCACTTCACATCCCCTTGCTAACTTTGTCTGGCAAACCTGCTTTGATTCACATCAGAAATTTCCCTATAGAATGTTCCTATGATAAAAGACAAAACAAAGAATCTTCTATTATGCTCCTCCATCATACAGCTGGATTTCAAAAGTGAGCTTATCCACTGTGAAAAGAAAACTTGGCAAACTGCTGAGGAAACAAAAGCAAGCTATTGAAAAGTAAGCTAATGTTTAAGGACATAAACTCTGCAAAATACACTTTTGTTAACTCCCATTTTTCATTTTCATCAATTATAATTACAGCCAGCTCTCAACTTTTGGGGGTTCAGGGAGGCAGGCAAAAGTGGGGAAAGTGAGAATATTTTAATACACACCCAATGCTACAAAAATATCTATCTTGGTCCCAGGCCACCTCCAGTGCACCTCTGTTGCTAGTCTCCAAATCTTTCCCCCCTGTGTCTCCCAGGATGATGGCACTGCTGCAGTAATCTCCTTCAGTGTTGTTGTCCATCTCTTGAAGAGAAGAAAGAGAAAGATGACTCTAAAAGAGATTTTTGCAGCTGTCGCAGCAGGACCAGGCCTGCAGTAGCTCATCCTCCTCACCTTCCATCTCCTCTTCATCTTCTTTCCTACCAATAGTCGCCCCCCCCCCC